GAACGCTTCCTGAATGTACAAGTGGCTTAAACCAGAACATAAATACTATAACTTGTTTAAAAAAGGATGGGTCAGTGGTTAGGACTGTCACCTCACAGCAAGAAGGTTGCTGGTTTGAGTCCCGGTTGGGTAAAGCCTGGTTTATACATCTCCGTCAAGTGACTGGGTAACCTACGATGCGTGCAACGCGCGTTGCTGTGCATTTATACTTCTGCACACTGTTTCTGTTGGTCTGCATTAACACTTCCAAAACGCAAGTTGGCAGTGAGGTGGTAATGTTTCTCTGTGTTGAGTTTCTTCGCTGGTGTATTGTTTTTTCTGAACGCTTCCTGAATGTACAAGTGGCTTAAACTTGCTCATTTTGAGGCAGGAACCGGCAGACATGCAACAACTTTAACCATGATATAACCATTATTGGGGTGTGTGTGTGTGTGGGGTGCGGTGGGTTTTGGGGGGTGGGGGTGGGGGTATGGGTGCGCGAGGCGGTCGTTGATGAAAAGGGAGTGCCCCTAACAAGACGCCACCCTGGTTGATCACGTATATTGCCCATGCCTAAACCCACCACTGGTAGCTACCTTTGTGGGCGGTACAATGTCCACAATGTATTAGACCTGGTCCAGTATGTCATTGTGATTACAGACCACAGCGAGAACATCTTGGTGCATTTCACTGTAGTGACCCCTGATAAATAAGAAACAAAGCCGAAGGAGCTCAATACTCTCTTTATCACATGGAAAATAACATTCTTTTCCTGCAGAGGGGCAGAATTCCCATCAAAAATAAATACCATTATCACTGCATGTGTTACTCTAATGGTTTTGCAATTGGTGATAAACTGTACAAAACTCACAAGACTTTTGATTTGGTGTGACTTAAACTTGCTTTTTGCAGAGAAAACGGTAACTTCAAAATCAGGGTCAAAAGTTAAATAAATTTCATTTCTACAATATGTAATTGCCAGATGTCCTGTGTCCAACCTGTGATTAATTTTTAATCCACTCAACAAAGAAAATTCTGTTATTAATCACTCACCTTCGTGTTTTTCCAATCCCCTAAGTCTTTAGGCAACAACAACCAGTCAGAAAGTAATTGTGGGTAGCTATCCTTATGTTTTCAAAAGTTTGCATTTCAGTCTGTCAATGCTGGAACAGAAAAGCAGTGTTTCAAAATTAAAACAAGATCTTTAGTATTTTCAAAACTTTTATTTTCACTGGTCAAAGATGCCAGAGTAGTTTGAACACCAGGCTTAACCATGACAAAACCTATGCATTCATTAGTGTAAATGACAATCCTTGTATACATTGCAACACGAACAACACAATGTTTGTTTCTTAGAGCATCTTGTTGAAAGCGTTGCCTATAATCTAACAAGTAGCACCTTTTGAGAGCGTGTTACTGTCAGCTTTATTGCTCTTTACTCGAGCTGGCAGATCAAATTATTAGAGCATAGCGGGGTGGGATTTTCCACGTGGGCTTCATATGGGTTGCAATGACCTACTGGCCTACTGGGAGTCCAAAAGCAGGAATCCTTAAGCAGCGTGAACAGACTGTGATCTACCTCCCTCTGAGCTGGAGAAAAAAAGGAGAGAAAGGCAGAGAGGGAGAAATTATGCTGCTCTTTAAAAAAAAAGAAAGACAAAGACACTTGGAAGGAGGTGTGAATAGTTGGATTTTCTGGACTCGGGTTGTAGAGATGAGGGTGTAGGGTGTAGCATAAAGAGAATACCTGATTTTATCGACTGCTGGGAGCTCTCTGCAGCTGCACTTTAATGACCCGACCTGGGGATACACCATGCGTACCTCTTGCTCTGTGTCTGACACTCATGAAAACAGCTTGACTGGAGGGCTTAAGTCCTCAAAAACCCATAGTTGGTTTTTTGACAGCTGCTTCAGCTTGTGTGTGTGTGTGCGTGAATGTGTCAAATGTCTGTGTTTGTGGGTCCCAAATTCTGTCTCGCTCCGGCTGCGCAGCCCCCTTAAACATCCTGTTGATGTGAAACCTGACACCCATTCCTCCTTTATCTGGATGTGGAGGATTACGTTCTGTCCAGATAGACACCATTCGCTGTCAGTGTGACGCTGTTTTGATTTATCACGGCTCATATGAAACCAGAACGCCATGCATTGCGATATGACTTTGTCATGTCACAGATCCGGCATGCTGTATTTTTTACACCGATGAAAGAATTAGAGCCAAGTTCATCTAAGTTCTTTTTTGATTATTTACAGGTTTAAAACCTGAGAAGGCAACACGGTGGGTAACACAATCGCCTCACAGAAAGACGGTTGCTTGTTCGAGCCTCGGCTGAGTTAGTTGGCATTTCTGTGTGGAGTTTGCATGTTCTCCCTGTCTAGGAGTGGGTTTCCTTTAGGTGTTCCAGTTTCCCCCACAAGTCAAAAGACATGTAGTATGGGTGAATTGGGTTGGCTGAATTGTCTGTAGTGAATGTGTATGTGGATGTTTCAGTGATGAGTTGCAGCTGGAAAGGCATCCACTGCATAAAACATATGTTAAATAAATTGGTGAGTCATTCCGCTGTGGCGACCCTAGACTGATAAAGGGACTAAGCTGAAAAGAAAATAAATGAATGAAAACCTGAACATAGGGTGGCACGGTGACTCAGTGGTTAACACTGTTGCCTCACAGCAAGAAGATTGCTGGTTCGAGTAACGGCTGAGCCAGTTGGCATTTCTGTGTGGAGTTTGCAAGTTTGCATTGGTTTTTTTTTCACATGAACCTAGCAAAAGTTAGATCAGGCCAGCTAAACTGGAGCCACAGCTAAAATGAAATAACTCCTCACGAAAATGAATGCCATGATCATGATGTTAATATTGTTTAATGTACATCCAAATGGCATCTCTAAAGGTCAGCAAGAGGCTACATCGGTTCAGTTAAGCAAAAAGCACACACTCAGTTGAGTCAAAAAGATCGAGTTTACCGTGAAGTTCAGAATGATTCCCCAACCTGATGTTGCTTTAGATTGGTTGATTTTTTTCCTCCCCATACAAACTTTTTGTCTTGACATCAAACGTGATGCTTCTTTTTCTCTCAGCTGTTGCCATCTCATTATACATAGTTCAATCAGACAGACAGACTCCCTTATGGATGATGAAGTAATTGCATCCTGCGACTACTGTGGATCAGTTACTTTTCAAATGTGTGTGTGTATGTGTGCGTCATGCATCACAAACCAAGATTAATTCTGATTGGATATTTTTCAAAAACATCCCTCAATCACATTCTCGTCTCGTTTTTATTAGTCAACAAAAATGTCTATTTTTTAAATAGTTGTTGTCGATATCACTTAATTTTTTTTGCTTGTCATGAAAATTATGACAACATTTTTTGGCAACGATATTAACACTGATTGGGTAAAGCAAAAACTGGCATGAATGCAAAAGTGTATGGATGTTTCCCAGTGCTGCATTGCAGCTGGAAGGGTGTCCACTGTGTAAACTGGAATAGTTGGTTGTTCATTCTGATGTGGCAGCCCCTGATGAATAAAGAACTAAGCCGAAGGGAAATTAATGAAAGAATGAAAACCTGAGCACCAAAATTTTGGGGCATTATCCTATCTAATCTGTAAGAAGGCTATGGCAGAAACAGCTATTGCTTTGGGGAGACATTTGCAAAACAAATAAACAAACAAACAAGTAAAAAGTCATGTATATTGTCAGTTCAAACAATGCATCTGCAAGCTCTGCAACATAACTGACAGACTTAACAATTAGCGACTTCAACCCTAAATAGAAAGCAACTATAGACATAAACACAACCCAGAAGCATCTGAACAAACAGACATAACTCATAAACAAACCCATTTTTCCTGCTTTATTCAGAATCCTCCAACCCTCAAATCAGTTGAAGCTTATGCAACAGTAATACAGTAAATGTAATTATTCAACCAAATGTCAGTTCAACAAAGTGCAGAGCAGGAACATCTCAGAATGTATGCCACAAGTTGTACTCGTTTAATGCAAGTAATCCTTTGTGATTTATGGAGCTCATATGTCACCTTAGTTATCTGAAAAAGTTCTTGAATTTATGTTGACACGTCACGCACAGGACGGCATAGGCTTCATGAAAAGATTGCACATGGGGTGTTGTTTTAGCTCCTAGACATCTAGAGTCTAGAGCAAACACAAATCCAGCCATTATGCACAATCACCACAACATGGATGACATGCCACGTTCAAACCACGGTTGTCTATTTCTCAACGTTAACTCGTGATCGTCTCTGGGAAATGGCCCAACCTCACCTGGAGCCTTTTAGCACAGTGCCTACTTGCAAACAAACACTTGACAGATCATATTGATTGTGGGTTTAAGCTACTTAGTTACTCACAGGCCTCAGAGACAAAGACTGTCTCTGGTAAAATAATAAGAACATCCCTGAATGAATGGCTTGCAGGGCATGGATGTTTACCAAGCTGCAAATGCTAGAATCTACAGTCTTACTATTTTATCTGTGAAAAAGCAATCCCTCGTGGACTACATGCAAGAATTATGTAACAACGTTTCAAATGTACTTTACGTATGTAGAGTTGATTCTTGAACTCCTTTGGAGGCACTAATAGAAGACTAGTTTCTTTTAGCTCAATAGCAGAAAAAAAAAACATGCCTACATCCACTTTGACCTTGTGGACCTGTGTCTGGATTGACCGCCTCTGCATCTCACTGTTGTTTGGTCTAAGAGACACATTTCCTGTGAACCAGTTTAATCTCTACCCATTGAAACCCTATTCATACCTTCAGTACAAGGATGAATGCTCCTCCCTGTTGGCTAATTATGTACTTTATAATAAATGCAGTTGAGTAATTGGTACCTCTTTTTTTTTTATCCGTGACCTTTGAAACATAATTCGCCTCTTGCTCCTTGTAAGGACTTGCTCTGTTTATTTCTTCAGCAAGGTGTGATCCTCCGTGGCCTAGGCATAGCATTCTTGGAACAGCGTGAGAAAGTAATTTACTGATTCTATCCTCTTTCTTCCCATTATAGGCACTAGGCCTCGTGGGTCAAGCAGAACAGAGTGAACTGTCATCAGACAACACCATATCCAGAGTGAATCCCTCCAAACAGAGATGTCCAGTTCAGTTTGGACAGACTGCGCCCTCATCCTCTGAACATCCCAGTTCTGCTGCGGCATCCTTCTTCATCAGGTAAGAAAACTCATTTATCATAGATCACTGTTGATCACATGATACGACACCTATCCTTTCTTGATTGAGACCCCATCCACTCAGAGATGAGTTTTGCTATTTATGCAAAACATATATATTATATAGGGGGTGGTGGTTTTGTAGGTTGCTAGGCGACCATCAACTATTTTCTCAGAGTATGACTAGCTGACAGACTGACTCTGATTCAAGTTTTATTTATGGAGAAATTTTCAATGCACTGCAGTGTATGGGTGGTCTGTGTTCGTCTGAGATAATTATTCTACCGAAATGTTTATATTCCATACAAGCTGAAGCTTATTAGTCATTTCTTGTTTTGCGACTCGCAGTGTGCCCACGGCATTCATTCAACTGGGTGCATCTGGAAGGAGCGAGCATGTCACCTACACTGGAAATAACAAACTTGTGCAAACTCTAGCAAATGCTACAAACACTAGAAAAGATGCGAAATATGTGATCTACCCCTAAGACCGTCGTCATTTTCGATCTCCAGCAGTTGATCTTCTTCTTGCACAGACATGGTGGATTCACCTGATTTGCTGACAAATGGGTTGTGGATCTGTTCCTTGGCAGTTCTCGGGTCCTTCACTGGGCCTTTTCCCCTTCACAAAAAAACTTTCAAAAACATCTATTTCTTTCTTTTTTTGCTGTTTGTGGGTTAATTTTTGTTTTTGTTTTTAATTTTTCAAAATATATATATATATATATATATATATATATTTTATATAAAATATCCTTCAGACTCAGATAATACATAAAACAAAAATAATTAATGATTTCTTATGCAGCCCAGTACCAATTGATCCAAGGACCAGTAGCGGTCTACAGCCTAGTGGTTGAGAACCACTGCCATAGTGGATAAATCTGAAAACTACATTGTGGCATATTCATGTTAACACAGAGTACACATATTTTGTGAAACAATGTCATCAGCCCATGTCTCGACTCTAGTCTGAAAGTCACGGATAATACAGACTACAACAATCGTGGACTACATGCATGTATTTGTGCTGCACATGTTTATCTTTTGTTATTTTGTATACAACATGCAAGGTTTTTGTGCATTAAGTGTTCTCCGTTTGATTTGTGGGAGAATTACAGTGCCACATACTGGTCTGGCATGCAAACTACATTGTTTAAGTTGGTTTCTTGTACATACAGATGTTTTTGGAGAAAAAAAAATTGCGCAGGGACTGCTCTGTTTTTTTGTAGGTGTAGCCTTAGGCATAGGTAACCCTATAGCCACACTATAAAAATATAGTGACAAAAAGTCAACACAACAAATATTTTTATGTTAACTTATTTTAATAAGTTAATTTTTAAGTTATACAAAGTTTAACCAAATATTTTTAGTCAGTTTGATTGATGTAAGAGCTCCTCGACCTGGGGTAAGGACTTTCATCACCACACCAAGAGAAGTCAGCTGAGGTGGCACGGGCATCTGTTTCGGATGCTTCCTGGCCGCCTAGAAGTGTTCCAGGCATGTCCCACTGGAAGGAGACCTTGGGAAAGACCCAGGACATGCTAAATGAATGAATGAATGAATGAATGAATGAATGAATGAATGAATGAATGAATGAATGAATGAATGAATGAATGAAAAAGTTAAGTCAGCAAGATTTTTTAACAGTGCACTGTTCAGAAGATTTTAGCTCCGACCACCACAAACATACTTGCCTGTTTCAAAACCTTGATTAGCATCAGATGTGTTCCAAGTTAAAGCTAAACCCTGCAAGACGTTGAGCCTCCAAAAATGGATTTGGACACCCCCGTTTTCCCCACAGTAAATTGACTTAAAGTTGCTTGGACTGAAATTGTTTGTTGGATCAGTGCTTAAAGGATTAGTTCACTTTCAGAATAATAATTTCCTGATATTTTTCCTTAATCCCTTGTTTTATAATATAATATAATATAATATAATATAATATAATATAATATAATATAATATAATATAATATAATATAATATAATATAATATAATTTAATATAATATAATATAATATAGGCGAGGCAGTGGCGAAGTAGGTAGTGCTGTCGCCTCACAGCAATAGGGTCGCTGGTTTCAACCTCGGCTCAGTTGGCGTTTCTGTGTGGAGTTTGCATGTTCTCCCTGCCTTTGCGTGGGTTTCCGCCGGGTGCTCCGGTTTCCCCCACAGTCCAAAGACATGCGGCACAGGTGAATTGAGTAAACTAAATTGTCCGTAGTGTATGAGTGTGTGTGTGTGTATGTTTCCCAGAGATGGGTTGCGGCTGGAAGGGCATCTGCTGCGTAAAAACTTGCTGGATAAGTTGGTGGTTCATTCCGCTGTGACGACCCCGGATTAATAAAGGGACTAAGCCGACAAGAGAATGAATGAATAATATAAAATAATATAATATAATATAATATAATATAATATAATATAATATAATATAATATAATATAATATAATATACATTTGTATTTTTTATTAAATAACGGATTATTTTACTATGTAAAACATTTACTCCACAGTTCAAACCACAGAGCACTTTATAAATTCACTATATGTAGAAATATACTGCATTTTTTCCCATAAAATCCATCCTGGATAACAATAGGGTGAGTAAATTATGAGGACAATTTCATTTAATAACTGAAGTAAACCTCTAAATTTAATCATGAAACAATATTACGACCCTGCATGCTAGTGTTTTATTAGAGTTTCTAAGTTCCACTGGTATTTGAAAAGGTGTGGTGACAGGAATGCTTCTGGAATGGTCCTGGAAAACATATTTGAAACATTTCTGAAGCCTGGTGACAGCATGGGACATTAAAGAGTGTCCAGGGACCTCTCCCTTTTGTGGAGAATGACGGCAACCCAGTTCTTAACTCTGCTTGGGATGTTGCCACCTGCCCAAGCACTTCCAGGTCATTCGGAGACAACAGACAGATGTGACCCCATGTAGCACAAGGTTAATTTTTGAGGTTTGATTTATAATTGCTCGCCTGTTTTCTTTGGAGCTGAGCTCAAAAAAGCGGATGCGCAGGGAGGCTGCTATGTCAAAAGATGAGGAAAGGAGAGAAAAAAAATAGATTTGTTTTGACCTCTTCATTTAAACTCCTGGGTGGATGAACAGAAGCAGTAGGAAATATTTTGGGTACCACCTCTTGTTTCATCTCAAATACTAATTTCTGGCAAGATTTTTTTTTGTTATGAATAGAAAAACGTCAGTTTTTCAAAATACTAATTCAGAGACTATTGCTCCGTCCCAACTCGCATATTTATACTACTATACTACTAAAGTATGTACTATTTTTGTGAAGGACTTCTGAGTGTGTAACAGAAAAGTATGCAAGCTTTGGGACATACTGCTTCCTCGTCAACAGATCATTATATTGCTAGTTACATCCCCTGTCAATCATCTCGGCACGTCATCCACATTTCTTTCATATTCGTTTTGGATATTCTTACCTTTTTGGAAAAGCAGCAGCAAGATAACCTGCCATTTGCGAGTCTTTCATGCTGAGAAATCTCCTCAGGTCTTCTTTGGATAATTATGCATTCAGAAGATAATGTCCTAACATAACTTGATATGAGTTTACATTGTTGTTGCAGACGAAATATAACACAGAAAATGAAATTTAAATATTTTCCAGTTAGCTAGAGATTAATTAATATTCATTCAAACAACTTTACCGAAGCCTCTTTACTTGAAAGTTGGTCTCGTGCGTCCGCCGTGTTCTAATCAAATTAATGTCCAATGCGGAATGTACTATGGGCAATATTAGCGGTTAGAGTATGGACGGATCTACACTTAGAATTTTTATCGGAATTGGTAAACCATCCAGGAACCTTTAGTAGACTCTTTTTAACATACTATGGTTTAGGACATACTAATTCAATTTTTGAATACTATTTATGACAGATAGTATCCAAATTGGTACGCAGCATAGGACATTAAATAGAGGACATAGAAAAACAGGCAATAATGCTTTAGCTGTATTTGAAGTAGCAACCAAAATATAAAAAAACACTTAATGAAATGCAGATAAATGCAGGATTAACAATAACAAACTGTTTTAGATGTGAAACAGGTGTAAAGATTGCTTTTTAAATTTTAAATCAAGACCATAAAACTTTAATAATATCTTGTGCTCTACCACAAAAGACGTTTGTGCACCTTCCCCTCACAGATGTTAGACTTGATCGGAGAATGCATAATTAGAGTTGCCAATGTGATACCTTGCTTAGAGGCATGTCAAAAAATTCAAGAAGGGCATCCTCTAAAGGTGTTATTATCAAACTTCTGCATATAAATGAAGAGCTGTGAGTGAACATCCACACCTGCAGTTATTACTGTAGTGTGCATTGGGCCTTTAACCTGCATGTACAACACGCAGGGGGCTGGATCCTCTGGTAAGTAAAATGTTAATTAGAGTGCAATTAGAGGTGCACAGCGGATAGGAGAGCAACGGGGGACAAAGTCAATCTGCCATCCATTCAGTGCTGTTGTGATTCGATCCATTTGACCCCCAAAAAATATTTTAAGAAACTCTTTTCTCAAACCACCTATAAATGTGGTTGTTCTGATCCAGACACATTGCATCTAAAGCCAGGCTCACACTGCGGGATTATTTTATGATTGTAACATGTCAGATTGTATCAATCGCAATGTCACACCGTAAGATCTCAGTTTTAACAATTATAATGTTATACAATGTTTGACAATCAAGACATCAGTTTTAAATACAATGAATGACAAAATAAGGCATACAAAACAAAGTAGAACTTTAAAAGTTCCAAAGAATGAAAATATGGATATATTAGGTCCATAAATATTTGGACATCGACACAATTCTAACATTTTTGGTTCTATTCACAAACACAATGGATTTAAATTTAAACAATGAAGACATGATTTAACTGCAGACCATCCGTTTTAATTTGAAGGTATTTACAAGTAAATCAGGTAAACGTTGTTGGAATTACAACAGTTTGCAAATGTGCCTCCCACTTGTT